ACAGCTCACAGGAACCAGTGGTAAATCATCACTTAAGACCACCACAACCCCTCAGTATGGGCATCCCCTCATTTTCATAGAATCGTAGAATTGTAGCGTCGGAAAGAATTCTGAGGGTCATCTAGTCCAATACCCTGCAATGCAGGAATCTCAACTAAAGCATTCATGACAGATAGCCTGCCAACCTCTGCTTATAAACCTCCAATGAAGGAGAGTCCACAACCTACTGAGAGAGTCTGTTCTTGAGATAGGGGATTAAATATACACCCATATTCCAATACATTATTTTCTGAAAGAGACTTCTTTTTGCCTGCATGCAGAATTTCAAACAAAACCATTTAAAGGTGGAGCTTGGGCATTTCCACCTAAGTCTAAAAAGGGAGAGATATAACACCACATATGCTGCTCAGAGTGCCTCAGACTAGTGACAGGAAAACACCGCAATGAATAAGAGGCATCTTCTACCGTAGACTAAGTTAAATAGACAGTGTTCTGTCTTTAGCAAGCACTTCTAGTCTCAGTCCATGTTTTGGATGAGCAGTATCAGCTGAGCAACACAGTGCCCCAACAGAGGGGCCAAGGATAATGCCACATCCATGCAAATGATGTAGCAATAAGTATGCAAATTAGCTATTGCCCCCTGGCTCATGATTGGCTTCCAGTGCAGTCTCTGTGCTGAACGAAGATGCCTCCCAACTGTTTAAAGGCCATCTGCATTATCCTAGTCAAACACAAAATGGAGAATATCTTCTCCCTTATCAAGCTCTGCCTGGAAATCACTGCACAACACTGGTCTAATGAATCCTTGGGAAAACAATGATTAGAAACGTCTTTTTTAGACTTGCAGAATAACTCCTGGGGGTGGCCTGAATCATAAGAGATTCACAGGAATAGCCAAGTATATCTCCAGCCTCAGACTGTCTGCACAGTAGTAATTCAAAAGCCAGGTTAACAAAAGTTGAAAGGAAAACTGCTTCTGCTTGGTTTTTAAAAACTTGAGTCATTGCTTATACAGTGGTACCTCAGGTTACATACACTTCAGGTTACATACACTTCAGGTTACAGACTCCACTAACCCAGAAATATTACCTTGGGTTAAGAATTTTGCTTCAGGATGAGAACAGCGGCAGCGGGAGGCCCCATTAGCTAAAGTGGTGCTTCAGGTTAAGAACAGTTTCAGGTTAAGAACGGACCTCCAGAACGAATTAAGTACGTAACCAGAGGTACCACTGTAGATCTTGATCAAGCCATAAAGTAGTACTCCATACCACCATCTCAGCTGCCTTGAAATGCAAACAGAACTCACCCAATTATTTATCATTTTTATTTAAAACATATACACCATGAATTGAAAAATGATATTCTACCATCTGAATATGGAACTTAACTTTGGAAGATGAGTACTTAACTTCCAACTACAAGCTAATATTGCCCAAACTGACTTCTAATGACACCGCACCTATTGACCCCTAAAACTGATCTCCAGCCTTGCAAATATAAAGCCTATTGTCTTTCTCCTTACTTCTGTTTTCTGCCTCACAAGGAATTTGTATAGTCCAACTAGTACTAAATACAAGGAACAAATAGATGCCATATTTTCAAACAATGAGGAGAGAAACCATTTCCCCACATGACTTACTTATTTTCTCAGCTACACTATGAAGTAGGTTCAGACATGGACTGTTCCAGATTCACACAGTGAGCTTTATGGCAGAGTTGGGAACTAAACCTGGGTCTCCATGCTCCTAGCTTGACACTCAAGCCACACCATCACACTGGCTCTCTATGAAGACAGTACTGTACACTGTGTCCACCATGATACTGAACTCCTTCAAATAAGGGCAAGATCAAATCATAATAAATGAACAAGCAAGCCACCATGATGGCTAAGAATCAATTAAACTTCCCTGTGATAGTTGGCCTTAACTTGTGCAGGTAAAATGAATACAAAATTCATGTTACAGCATGAAAATTCATGTTACATCAATAGTTCTGCTTTGATACAATACTCAGACAAAGCAGCTTTTTCTGTCCCCAGCAGTTGTGCTAAACACCTCACCCACAAGTAAACTAGTCTTAGATGCATTTATAGGCAGCATTCACCAACTGTCAAAGCCAAGCAGGTAGCAGTTTTAAATCAAAACTGCAGTGTCCCACAATGCCCTACGTCAGCATAAAGGTTTTTAAGCACACAAAACTAGGTATTTGGAATTACTAGCAGAAGCAACTCATGGAATCTGAAGTGGTTGTAAAAACAAAGGACAAAACTCCTGGATTCTTGCTAAAACTTATTGCTATTTGCTACCCTGTTGGATATACCCTATAATCCATGCTTTTCCCAACTCAGTTCTCAGTATTCAAAAGTGTATTTCTGTAGGACTTGTCACTTCATCTGTGTCCTGCTTCTTCCTCTTCATCAAAGGAAGTTTTAAAAGCTCAGTCAAAAAGGAAAGCAATACAAAAGGCATATAATAGGGAACTAGCAGAAGTTATACAAAACTTCCTCTTAATATTACCAACATGCTGGTCACATGATACAAAACATGCCAGAGTTGCAACCACTGAAACACTGCCAGGAAATTCAAGACCAAGCTGTAAAGTGCAAAACTGTGGGATTACCGGTAATTTGCCACAGACACTCCTCCAAGCCTGCTCTAGAGAAGATGCAAGCAGCAAAATCCTTGGAGTTTGCACCAACAGGCAAAAGGCCACAAGCAACAGGCATGAGGCATACACACACAAAACAAAGCAAATGTTTTTCAACCCAAGCAACTCAGGGACAGAAGCAAGCTGCTGTTTTTAAACAGATGGCAGTCTCCATACAGGCTAAGGAAGGCACACAGTCATTCAACAAGCAGGAAGAAAAGCTATAAAAAGCAAGCATTAATCAGAGGCTCCAATATTCTTAGCACACACAACACGGCAGCTTTCAACAGCCAAGGCTCCCCGGGCAGCAAACTGTTAGATGCTTTCGACATACCTCTCAACCTAAAAAAAAAGCCCCTAACCATAAAGGCAAACCTTCATTGGAGGGAGTGATAAGGTGAACAAGCATTTCTTAATTATTATTAGCCAGCGGTTTGATTAGTAGGTTTCACAAGGGGTAAAATCTTGAGAGTTAACTCTCCACAGTTCTGCCTTGTCAGGGACATTTGTCATGAAAACAATACTTCTAGATATTAATGGTTTATGGGGACCTTCTAAGTGTATCCTTTCCAATTTGAAGATAAATTCTGTTAGCCTTGGCTATGACAGGTGGCATTATCCAAATTAGACCTGGAGAAGGTGTTCTCCAACACAGGGTCCCTCAGGTCAGTGGCTGGAGTCTGGGTTGTTTGCCTTAGAAAATGGGGATCTGAAATCTAGGAGGCAAGAATTAGTTCCCTGGCCATGAACTGAAAAATTGACTTGATTGATGTGGATAAATTTCCCTTCAGGGTAGGCTTTACTAAGATTTCAGCTAATGACTACTTCAGTACTGGAGGGTAGGTGTCAAAACGCTCCACACAACTTGCAGTTTTTGTGCCTGTGAAAGCAGCAAGTTGAGGATGTGACATTATTAATTCAGTCGCCCCACCGTCTCATTGTTAAAAGGAATTATTTATTTTTGCTTTGGGGGGGGAATGATGTCATGGATATTGGTCAATGAACAAAAGATAGGTTTTGCTTCTTGTTGATACAACTATGGCAATTATTGAAAGCTAGCTAAGATGAAGTTAGTGGAAATTTTGGTGCGGCTTCAACTGGACCATGGCTAGAGCCTACAAGACCCCAAGGTATACAATCCTAGGCTTCAAACCGAGCTGAGAGGTATGAGATCAAGCTCTTTCCCTTGCTTTCTTACCTTCGTGCCCGGTGATTCACGTGCTGATGCTGCCGTGTTATAAGGGCACTTTCCCATACAGGGCCACTGTGGCTACTCCTATACCAACTTGCAGCCAGGTGCCCTGGGTAGGTTGGGCCAGTGAAACCATGGTCCGACTCCGTCTCGGCGGCCAGCGATGAGGCTGAGCTGCCCATAGCTCCCCTCAACCCTGGCTGGGCCAAGATTTATAGGTTAGGTCCAAGCCAGAGGCATGAGCAGTCGGCCCGCAAGGGTGAGGAGTTGCAGCATGGACTGGCGTAAAAGTTCCCAACACTGGAGAAAGGAAAGCTGGTGCTGATTGGAAAAAAGAAAAAGAAGAACACAAAACAAGAGGAAAGGGAGAGGAGAGAGAGAGAGAGAAAGAAAGAAGTAAGGTATGATTTAAACCAATGAAGTGACATTTCTAAAAGCCTGTTAATAACAGAGGTGGTGCCCTAGCCTACCAACATGGCACACTTGATTCAAAGGAAGCCTATAGAAACTTAAATGTGTGAGGGGTCGGAAGAAGAGAATGGAAGATGCTACTGTGGCTACATAATATAAAGGGCCTATTCCCAAGTTCTGTTGGCCAATTTAACCATTCTTTCTTCCGTTTGCATGTGGAAACAGGGTAGCCCAGTGGTTTTCAAACTGTTTTCTGGGGAAACCTGAGATTTCTTAGATGTATATGGGAGAAACTCAGTGGGAAGGTCAGTAACAACAGACAAAGCTCCCTGTAAAACAGCACAGTAGCAAAGAAATGGTGGGCAAACTCACATGGCCCTTAGCAAGCCTAGCCAGTGAGAATGGAAAACACTTCCTAAAAGAAACAAAAACCCACCCCACTCCCAGAATCCTCTGAAACACTCAGGGGTAAATGTACCGTGGTTCCTCAGCAGACCAAGACAATTTGGAAAATGTTTCCTGAAAGAAGAAAGTTTGAAAACCACTGGGGTAGCCAATACAAATATAAGGAGGTCTGGTGCTCTAGTATTAAGTAATACGGGGAACCAAATGCCAATTTTCTGGTAGCATTTATATAAATATTGCAACCAGTAAAGGGCCTGCACTTAGAACTAACAAAATGTCTCACATATGATGGATAATGAGTAGAATGGTCTTTCTCCAACATCTTGTGAGCATGCATATGCCCTGAGGGATAGCTAAATTGGTAGAGCATGAGACTCTTAATCTCAGAGCCATGGGTTCAAGTCCCAAACTGAACGAAAGATTCCTGCATTGCAGGGGGTTGGACTAGATAATCCTTGTGGACCTTCCAACTCTATGATTCTGTGCTTCTATATAGCTATAAAATGCACATGCATATAGCAAGAATCAATCTCATTAATTCATGCCTGCTACACCACTCAGCCTATGCAGCACATATTCCCCTAAAGCAGCGGTTCTCAACCTGTGGGTCCCCAGATGTTGTTGGACTACAACTCCCATCATTCCTGAGCTCTGGCCTTGCTAGCTAGGAGTGATGGGAGTTGTAGTTCAACAACATCTGGGGACCCACAGGTTGAGAAAGGCTACCCTAAAGGCAGGATGAGCTTGTTGCTCACGAGCAGACCCAAATGTAAGATGAAGCTTGACCACGCTGAAAAAAATAATGGTTTGACCTGTCCTTTCGCCACCATGGATGGATGCAAGGAAGCACAACAGCATGATGGAAGAGGCTGCACTCCATCTGCTGCTTCCTTCCTTCCCTTCCAAGAGTTGTATGGACCAGCTCAGCTGGATCATGGCTAACAGGCAGGACAAAAACATCTGGATTCACTTTACCCATCTCAAATTTGCACATGTATTTAAGAGTCAGGCTGGAAGCTGAAAGGAGTTGGAAAAGTGCAGAAAACCTTCAGTAGATTCAGTGGCTTCTCAAACCTCTAGCAGCCACCACTGAAGTTCAGTGTTACTCCTCCTCCATGGCCACTTGGAAATTTGGTGGCATCAACGTACACACTACTTGCTTTGCGGCAGCAGCCCAAATTCTTGTACCCAGGTTTGCCACCAACCAGTGTTAGAAACTCAAGATATATAAGCTAATCACCAAATGGCACCTTAAACTGAGGTTATGGTTGCTGCAACAGAATGTGTGGGCACCTTTTTCCAGTGAAATTTGTTGTTGTTAATTTCTATACTGCTTTATATTTTAAAGGAAAAATCTCAAAGCGGTTTACAACACATTAAATTACCAAATAAAAAAATCCAGAAGAAAACAAATTCAAGCTTCAAGGAAAATATTTCAGACCCTTCTCTAAGTGACATTTTGCTTTCCTCATATTTATTTACCTACTTAATTTATAGAGCTGCCCCACAGCAGAAGTACTCTATGAAGCCAGTGTGGTGTAGTGGTTAGTGTGTCAGACTAGGACCTGGGAAATCAGGGTTCAAACACCTATTGAGTCATGAAGCTCACTGGGTGACCTTGGGTCAGTCACAGCCTCTTAACCTACCTCACAGGGTCGTTGTAGGGATTAACTGAGGAATGGGGTGAACCATGTACTCCTTGGAGGAAAAAGGTTGGAGATAAATGCAATAAATAAGCTCTCCTGATTATCTGCTTAAGAAAGCTGGAGAGGCCTGCCAGATGGAGATGTCAGTCGCCAACCAGGCATCCAGAGCTCTCCACATGTTCACAATTGGACCCGCACCAGTAGCAAAACATGCCTGGTGCCTGGCTAATGTCTAACACTGCCACCAACCATCTAGCTTAGGCATATAAGTAAGCATTTCAAGCAGGCCCACATTGCTTCCATTTTCCTGACTCACACCTTAGTGAGTCAAACTTCCTGAAAATAAGGGCAGCATCAGGGATTAAATAGGTATGTGAGAAAAGGCAGGTGCCTTTTCTTATGTGGGGGCGGGGGAGAAAACCTTTAGTGTCAAGATTTGTGTTGGAAGGGAAAAGAGCAAGCCAACAATTAGTACAGTAAAAATAAAGAAATGAGGAAGAGAAGAAAAAATGCCACTGTTGAGCTTATTCAGTTACCCACCAGGATTTGGAGAGAGAGGCAGAAATGAGCTGTGGTAAGAAATGAGCTATAAATAAGAGAAATGTTCAAGCAATAGAGATTCTTTGCAATGAAAGGGGTTGATACAAAGCTGCTCACATGGAAGATTTTCAACGCCAAGGCTGTTCCCAAAGGGAACTTGGTATATAGTAATTCCCACTCTTCAGTCCATATAACAAGAGCCAGTCCGATAGATGGCTGACACCACAATTGTGTGCATTAAATGGGCTTCATTTAAAAACAAGTTGTTTTTCTTTACTGTTCACAACAGCTTATAATATGATGAGGCTGCCAGAAATCTTTACCCTCCAGGCTACTTCCCTCCTAGCATGCACATGGCAATATCTGCTCCTTCCGCTTCTACTGCCAGCAGATGGAGCTCATGGGCAAATATGGGCCTGGGTAATGAGTCACAACATCTTGCCACCAGGGCACTGGATCTAATACCTGCGTACCCAACAGACAAAGCTATAGCTCTCTCAACCTCTATTCTCCCGACTTATTTCATCACTATATTTTTTACTAGTGGCTACCACCCCTGCTCATCCACCTGCCTACCCCTTTGCGCTTCCCCCAACCTTGACCAAATCTCCTCCCCTTAAAACTCACCCACCCTCTTGATGTCGTCGCGCCACTCCTTGGTGTGTGGAGTGCCGCAGGGCGCAATCCTCTCCCGAATGCTTTTTAACATCTTTATGCGCCCCCTTGCCCAGATTATCCGGAGCTTTGGGCTGGGTTGTCACCAATATGCTGATGACACTCAGCTCTATCTGCTGATGGATGGCCACACCAACTCGGCCCTGAACACACTGACCAGATGCTTGGAAGCTGTGGCTGGATGATTTCGTGGGAGCCGACTGAAACTAAATCCTTCGAAGACAGAGGTCCTATGGCTGGGTCGGGATGGCATGGGGATGAGGGACCAACTCCCTTCTCTTGCGGGGGCCCAATTAGTGCCATTGCCTTCCGTTAAGAGTTTGGGTGTAATCCTTGACGCCTCCCTTTCCATGGAGGCGCAAGTTACAGCAACAGCCAAGGCGACATTTTTCCACCTTCGCCGCATCAATCAGTTGGTCCCTTACCTTTCCCGCCCTGACCTGGCCACAGTGATCCATGCGACGGTCATCTCCAGGCTTGACTACTGTAATTCGCTCTACGCGGGGCTGCCCTTGAAGCTGTCCCAGAAACTCCAGCAGGTGCAGAATGCTGCAGCGAGGCTCCTCACGGGGTCTCTGCCATGGGAGCATATTCACCCAGTGCTTTTCAAGCTGCACTGGCTCCCGGTGGAGTACAGGATCAGATTTAAGGTGCTGCTTTTGACCTTTAAAGCCCTTCACGGCCTAGGACCCTCGTACCTACGGGACCGCCTCTCCCGGTATGCCCCACGGAGAGCCTCAAGGTCCATAAATAGCAACACCCTAGTGGTCCCGGGCCCTAAGGAAGTTAGATTGGCTTCAACCAGAGCCAGGGCCTTTTCAACTCTGGCTCCGGTCTGGTGGAACGCTCTGCCTCATGAGACCAGGGCCCTACAGGATCTGATTTCTTTCCGCAGGGCCTGTAAGACAGAGTTGTTCCGCCTGGCCTTTGGCTTGGAGCCAATTTGATTCCCCCCCTCTCTTTCTTTTTTCTTTTCCTTCTCCTCCTGCGATGAGGCTACATTTTAATATTTTAATGTTTCAATATTTTAATGTTGTATTTTTAATTTTGTTTTTAAGTTGTAATCATTTAACTTGTTTTTATTATTGCTTGTAAGCTGCTCTGAGCCCGGCCTTGGCTGGGGAGGGTGGGGTATAAATAAAAATTATTATTATTATTATTATTATTATTGACTGTCCTTCCACAGCATGCCCCAAGTCCATCCCCTGTTAAATGAAGCAAGAGGTGCAAAGGGCCTTCCCTGCTACTTTAAACCTTGACACAGGCGTGTTCAGTGGAGAGGGGAGGTACTCCATACAGTAGCTTGATAAACCATTGGTGTGAAGCACCTCCCCTCTCTCCATTAAACCTCACTGCAAGCAAGTTTAATAGAAGAGGAGCTTCACAGCCTGTCGGCTGTTTCTCATGCTGCAGCTGGCATGGTCGCCAACAGGCAACCACACAAACTGCAGAGCATGACAACACTTCCAACATTTCCATGTGTATAGCAATATACGACTTGAGTGGGGGTTGTTTTTCAAAATTAAAAGCAACTTAAAATTTTAATTAATTAGTTAATAAATCTGAAGAGAGGCTAACAGTAACCAGGAATGTTGTGAGGAAAAACAGGAGAAAATGGGGCAAGGAAGAAGAACCTTGAGTTTCTTAGAGGAAAGGCTAAATATAAGCATAGTAAGCAAACAAGGCACACAAAGTGTGAGAGCACGACTCTCTTTTCCTTTTCCTGTTGCACAGGAAAGGACGTATTTTACACATTTCATTACGAAAAGGAAGACAGCAATGAGCTTGGGTTTTTTGTTATTCCATACACTGGATAAAAATTATTAGCCCTTTTTTGTGAATGAGCACTTGGAAGCTACAGCACTCCCTTAGAATCCTGTTACCACATGGAGGAAAAAGAGTTCTCCCACAAAGGCACTACTGATAATGAATTGATGTTTCAAAATTATTACTTTTTGTCCCAAGGCACTAAAAGATGAAGACAGTGCCAACCCAAGTCTTTTGATTCCTGAAGAGATGTCCAAATGTCACCTCTAGTCATAGACTGGCTGGATGCAGAGGAGAGGTGGGAGGCACCAGCTGATGATGATGAGTGGTCAGAGGGAGAAGAGGTCTAGTGAGCAGGAAGAGGCTGTGGCAGAGAGCAGTTCAGACTCTGAGGCTGAAGAGGAACTGGAGACGAGGGGGCAAAGAGGCAGGTTGAGACGGGCTGCTGAAGAGTCCAGGTAGTCTCACCCTGCTGCTGCGACCAACTCCTCCCCCCACCCAGGTCTCCTATAACAAGCAAGAAAATTGAAAAGAGCAGAGACTGGTGGTGTGCAGATGAAGTTTGCAACTGCTTAGGAAAGACTCTGGAGGAGGATGAGTCTTAGAGAGTGGTAGGAAGCTGGGGAACTTCAGTCCTCACAATCACCTCATTGGAGCAAGACCTGCGGGGAAGAATTGCTGGGATCACTATTCCTGTTTTGTTTTGTTTTGTTTTGTTTTGTTTTGTTTTGTTTGAGGAAAAAAAGTTAACTGCACTGACAGAGTATTTTTAATTGCTGACCTACACTTGATTCTGACTCCCAACACCTCCCCTGATAGGGTCAACACTTTAAGAAGTCCTGATACACCAGTTTGCCTTCACATATTCTACCCCAACACCACCATGGAACCCCATTAAGAAATTTATGTACCCTACTGGTTGGCAGGGCAACCATGGACAAAAATATACCAGGGACTAAAATGAGTTTTTCCTCCTGACTCTCAAAATAATAAAAAGGATATAGTGTGTGGAAACCCAACTTCCACCAACAACAAGCAAGAGGTGGAGGCTCAAACAATGGTTAAGCCTTTCTAGTGCTATACCATACAAAAATAATTCAAAACCAACACTTTCACAAATCCCTCAGCACTCTTACCTGAGCTAGAAAGACCAAGAAATGCACCCATCTTGCTGTACATAAAAGATAAGCACCCACTGAAGCGCTGCAGATTTGGCTAACTGAGAAATACACTGCCTGCCAGACCAGCAACTATGCAAGCAACAAAATGCATTGCTGCGGATTTCTTTCCCTTAAAAAGGAAGTATGAATCCATTGCTGAGCATGCAAGTGTACTGCAGGACAGAAGGGGAACAAGAAGCCTGCTTTAACATTGCTGAGAAAAGCTCTGCAAAGAGATGAGAGCTGGGTTCAGGAAGAACAGATCTATAAATAGGTACAGGATAACCCAGCTAAGCTGCAAGTCTCAAATACCGTTCAGTAATACAGGACTACTTTCCAGGCCATGTGCTCCAGGAAATCTGCTTCATCTAGTCAAAAGCATAATGCACAGAAATTCCAGGTGTGAGAGTTACACTGTCCAGAGGTTTCCCAAACTTTGGTATAACAGGCCACTAAGTCTGCAAAAGTGTTGGAGATGATTAAATAAAAAATACAGTCTCACTGGAGGAATCTCACTCTTGCCTCCAAGGGCAAGAAACAGAGGTCAAAAGAACTGAGATGGGAGAAATTTTAAGGACTACTTTGACTCACAACATGGTTTTACAGGCCCGAGAGAGAGACCAAAGAAGAAAAAGTGGTGGTGGTGGTAGTGGCAGTGGGAGAAACCACTTGCCTGCAGCACTGATACTGAAACACTATGCTTTTCTGGATCATTGATTTCTTCCCACATTTATATCCTGACCTTTCCCCAGGGAGCTCAGGGCGGCAAAACCACGGATTTGCCCCCATTGATCCTCACAACCACACTGCAAGGTTGGCTAGGCTGAGAGACAGGGCCAAGATTACACAGCAAGTTTAAAAATTGAAGAAGTAGTATCTGAGCCCAGTTCAAAACCAACAGTTAACCCACTGCTCCACACTGACTCTGGCTGTTGTGTAAAGTGGTGAAGCAAACAGGGAAACAATTAAATGTTTGCTCAATCAAAACATATACCCAAGGTCATTTCACACATTAAGCTGGAAAAAACCAAGATTTGCCATGGAACGTGAAGTCATAGCTAACCTCATTTCCCTGAGAAATGTACTATAGGACATGTTTGCCATAGTCACACTTTACACTTTTAAGGATGTGTGTAGACACACAAAGACTCATATAATTCACCAGGGAAGTAAACGTCACACTTTAAACTTTAAACATTGCTTGCCTAACCCAGGACTAGAGCGGAATACGCCAGCCTTAATAATGGTAATTTATTACTGGCTTTTCCTTCTAACAAATGGCTCATAAATCTTGTTCATTACGATTGTCACACTTCTTTCATACTTTCAAATACAGTGGACTGTATTGAGATTGCCCATAACTGATTCAATTGGTTAAGGCAAACAACCCTATTTACAATGTTTAGCTAGCAAAAGAAGAGTGACTGAATGCACCATTTACTGCCTTTAACTAAAAATGGTCTGGGCAGAAGACCAGAACCACACTAAGTGAAAATTAGTGTGGCTCCTGTGTTGGGCTCAGGAAAAAACAGGTCAAGCTCAGTCACAGGCCCACAGAGGTGGCGTTTCACAAGTCACAGAACTGGTGAAGACCCTCAGTAGAGTCTGCCCTTTACATGCTCCCTCTCATAGGAAAGATCTCACCAATCTTAACCATGGTTAAAGATTGGCAGGTTTTGAAGCTGGTTAAAAATTCCAGTAACAGCAAACCACAATCAGTGCTAGGTATTACTAAAAACAAGTTTTCTGGAAATTTTAACCATTGTGAAGGTTGAGGGAGGCAAGGAAAAAAGGGTACATGTAACCCCACAGCCCAAGACCTTAGCCATGTGTAAGAAAAAGCCACACTATATCTACACACCAACTCATTCTTTCAGCTCCCATTCCTCATCAATAAATTGGGAACAAGTCAACTTCCTATTGAACAGAATACACACATAGATAAGAACTATAAAGTTCTTTGCACACTAAAGCAGCAATAATAATTGGCTTCCCCCATCGTTTCTGAAGTATAAAGAACCTGTATCTGCTTGAGAACAAAAGCCTAGGGCTGTGTGTGCATGCTGGTGATGTTTTAATCGCAATCTACCCTCTGCCAAAAGAAAACCAACAGGTAAAGTAATATAGGTTCTAAGTAATTATATGCCTGTCTCACTGCAGTTTGTGTGTTGATTTATTGTTTGCACAGGGCTGTGAAGATGAAAAACACCTAGAACAGTGCTGAGCATTATTCAAAGTATTGGGTTCAGTGGCCTGCAAAATTCATGGGGACCAGAGGGGAGGCCCCACAAAGACATGAAGTGGAAAAAATAAGATTTGCTAAATATTTAACAAGCAATAATAGGAACTGCAGAAAACAGACACATACACACATCTAAAGAATATCTCTGCATTAGGGTGTGGGGAGGACCAACCCTCCCCATATAACTAAATACATCACTGCTTAAGTTAATCTAATTTGGGAGACCCAATGCTGCAACAACAATGGAAAAAGACAAATAGGGGATTTAACTAATAGAAACAAATAGTTAAGCACCTATTTTGCTTCCTTTTGTGATTTTAACGCATAATTACTACGTTTCAAGTGTTAAAGTTAATTATGCCTGCAAGAGCATTTCTAGAACAAATAAACTGATCTATTATGAAGCAATTTACTCCTTCCTATTCTCTGAACCATTTCCTCCCTCCCTTCCTTCCCCCACACAAGCACTTACAACAGATTAGGAGAAAGGAGACAGATAGGGAAGCTCTCCAGTCCCATCCATGCAAGGGGCTCTTCTTATTTCCTAGACCCAAAAGAGCATCCACAAGAGGAACACACTTGATTGCTTCCACTGAAGTCCCCTCTTCAGACCAAGGCGGAAGCAGCAGCCAGTCCTTTGGTCTCCGTTACCACACGCTCATCACTGATTACGAATCAAAGCGGTAACAAGCAGGCAGTACGGCAGGTCTTATTCGACTCTTCTCTACACCGGGACTGATTAAGAGCACCTGTGAGGTAAATAGATCACAGAGTTTGCTTATCCTGTAGCCTCCAAGACGAGATGTTCCCAAGTAGAGAGAGACGAGTGTGCCTTTCACAATGCATGCCAAGGGGGTGGGGCATCCCACTGGTCTAAAGCAGCTGCATCCAGCCCCTAAACCTAATCACCCAGCTTTGTCCAGGGCAGTTGTTAGCCAAAGCTGGGAGTCTGTATTTGCAGAGGCAAAAGCAGTAGGATGAGCAAGTAAATACTTTGCCCAATCCCTTACTGTCCAAGGGTACCCATCTTTTCTACCTTAGGGACCAGACACCACAAGGGCTTGCCCTGAGTGTGCCCTTTCGGTACCAAAGCCAATCAAGAACATAAGAGAATAAGAAAAACGTTGCTGGATCAGACCAGTGGCCACCCCAAGGCCTATGGGAAGCCTGCAAATAGGATCTGAGTAAAACAGCACTCTCCCCTCCTGCAATTTCCAGCATCTGGTACTTAGAAGCATATTTCCTCGACATTGGAGGTAGAACACAGCCTTATCCTCTTTTAAAGCCATCCAGATTACTGGCGATGACTGCATCTTGTGGGAACAAATTCAACCCTTTAATTAAGAAATACTTTCTTTTGTCCAACCTGAATCTTCCAACATTTTTTTTCATTGGATGTCCACAAATACTAGAGTTATGAGAGAGGGAGAAAATTTTCCCTCTATCCAAGTTCTCCTTGTCATACACAATTCTATACAGCTTTATAATGTCATTTCTACTCACCTTATCGCTAAAATAAAAAGCCCCAAATGCTGTAACCTTTCCTCACAGGGGAGATGCTCTACCCCCTTGATCATTTTGGCTCCCCTTTTCTGAATTTTTTCCAACTCTACAATATCCTTTACAATATATACTACACAGTCTTCCAAGTGCAGTTGTATCACTGTTCCAATTCCTGGAACACATACTAACTTTCCATTTGGGTCATTCCACATCAAATCAATGCAAAAAACAAGGGTTTCGCCACCTACCGTCTCAGATTTATGAAACTTGGTGTACACCCTTCCCTTGTGGTTGAAAGAAACCCACTTAAATTTCCCCCCTCTATCTCAAATGGTTTTACTTTTATAGCACTTCAAAGTTAGGTGAAATCTGTGCTTCTGTCCCTCTTGCGATCCTTGGTCTTGTGTGCATTTTAATTTTTTTCTCCATAACCAATGATCAGATCTCTTTGAAATTTTACAGAGAGCTCAGTAACATGATGAGGATTTCAGGGAAAAATACACCGGCACTCAAAAGATTTTATAAATGCCTAAAAAAAATGTATAAATGTAGTTTTTTGGGTGGTGGTGAAAATGAGGTTTAGAAAACCTAAATTTTCAGTGTGAGGGCACGATGGAATCAAAAGTTTTTGATGGTGAAAATTATTGCAAAGACATGCTCTTTCTCAACAAAGAATAAAATTTATGTGTCTCTTATGTCTTCTAACAAAATTTTAAGTTTTTTGGACATCTTGGGGGAAAATGGCTACTGGCTATAACTTTCCTACAATTCATAGCTGTAATAGAAAAAATTAACAAAACAAAGTTGTTCATCTTAAAATCTAAAATAATATTGGTTATTACAGGTTGTTGTTGTTTTCAAAAGTGCAGGCTTGTTTTTCAGTTTGGGGTATTTAAAACTATGAAAATTGGCTATATCGTGAGCTCTGTGTAAAATTTCTTTCAACCATAAGGGAAGGGTATACACCAAGTTTCATTAAAATCCGAGATGGTGGGTGGCATGACCGCATTGAACTGATGTGGAATGACCCATTTGCATGTGCAGAATGCCTTTCCTTCACTACTGACTGAGCAACAGCAGTCTGCCTCCACATATTTCAGAGAATACAGAGAAGGACCAAATCTCAGTGGTAGAGCACCTGCTTTACACGCAGAAGGTCCCAAGTTCAATCTCCCAGGCATCCCTAGTTGGAAAAATCAGGTAGCAGATGCTTTCAGTGGAGAGTCATGTCCAGTCAAATGTAGAATTAATCTGACAGTTCCCAATATTCCCAAGGAACATGATTCCCAGAGCAAATGGCCTAGTTCCTTGGGTTTAATTTCCAGAACACACCAACAAACATTTTCACTAAGGCAGCCCATGAAAAGGCCCACTGCAATAGTCAGGTTTCAAGAGGAGGTGATGGTTGCTCTGTTCAAGCAGGCAAGAAAAGTTTGCAACATTTACCAAGGGACAGAAGTACCCTGAACTCATATGGGCACAGTCATCCATGCTCTGATAACATCCAGGTTAGGTTACTATAATGCCCTTTATGAGGACTTAATTCATAAATGCTGGTTCCAGTTTAAAAATCCCAAAACTGAAGGCCCACCTGCTCCTGGATAAGTCTGTCGTTGAAACCTCTGTGGAATGCCCCACCTTCTGATATTAGGTGGGTGCTTACCAGGGATAGGGCCTTTTTGGTGGTGTCACCTCATCAATGGAACTCCCTCCTGACATCCATTCCACTACTGCCGACTTAATGGCTTTTAGGAGCTAGGTGAAAACATTGTTTGCCCAGACACCTAATGGCTTCTAACCTGATTTACCGACTATTTTAGCTGCACTGCTGTTTTTAGGTCTGTTTGTATTTACTGTTAATAATGTTCAGTTTTTACATGATAGTTTTATTTGTAATATATTGCCGATTACAACATTATTAAAGCAATATAATAATGTTGTAATCCACACAGTGATCCATGATGAATGATAGAGAGCATATTTTTTAGAAGATAAAGTTAACTGCAATTGCAATAAGAATTTTTAGGTGATAGCGTGAAAGACCAGAGGAAGCTGAACTGGAGAACTTCAAAGCACACACACCCTTAGATGCCCTGCCAATTGCTAGTAGCACTTAAGGATTCTCTGAGGAACTGGATACTATATTCTCAAGAGGGGCAGGATTGTCAAAACTGCATTAACAACACTTACATTTCACAAACATTCTGGAGGAGTGGCAATCATCTTCAACACAGACAGAATCACAAAAGTGAAGTATTTTGTATTCAAAAGCTGATCAGCACCAAGGTCAGTTGAGTTAAAACTTTTGTTTCAAACATAAAAAACAGCAAGCTCTCAAGCACAGAGGAGGTAAATAAAAGGCTCCTGAAACTTCGACAAGCACCAACTCACCAGCCACAAGTTAACTAAAACTGTTACAAGTGACTGCAAAGAGACACTGCAAAAATAATTCCAGGGCAGTGTCCAAATCAGATTGGATCATGGACATACGGAACATATGAAAATAAGAAAACACACTCAGTTTCCTTGCTTGGAATGAGAACCACATGAATGATGGATCCTGACTTCTCTTTAGAAAGTAGAGCAGGAGGTCTTAGCTATCATCTTATCATTCAACCTAGAGGTCTGATGAAGCCTTATGAATCCTGTATCCTGTACTTTGAGCTAAAGCCACTTCCGGCCTGCCCAGGAGGTGGGGTTGCGGGCTTCACGCCCACCCCCACTTGAGCGGGGGCTGGTTTCAGCCCCCGCGAGAGCAGGGGAATCCCAGCCGTGTCTTCACCCCACCCCCCAGCCAGCCAATTGGCTGGCTGGGGGTGGCCTGCCCTATTTAGAGGCTCGCCCTCTTTTCGTAGGAATTTTTCCCAATTGGCAATTTACAGCCATTTGGTTTTTCGCCTACCTCGTAGCAACTCGTCACAACTCCTCGGCATTGGCGGTTAGGCATTGGTAAGAAGGGGTTAAGAGGATGTGGGGGGGAGGAACACCATCACCTCCCCCCAGTGAACGAAGGGTGGTCCGATAAAGGACTCCGGGGGGCGTGGCCCTGTCCGAAGCCTATGGAGGTGTGGGCCAAAGGCACGCCCCCGAGCAGTGACCCGGGGGAGCTCCTAGTTGACGTGCCTCAGCAGGAGACTCCCCCTCTATGGTGTTAACCCTTCCCGTGTCTCCAGCAAATGGGCTGGAGCCGGATAGTCGATAGGACCAATGTCTAAGCCAATGCCTCTCATTCCTGAATTCAATAAAGTTGTGGCCTAATTCGCCCATTTAACCTTAAATTTGGTGTCTTGTGTCTTTATTTATCCTGGTGGGGGGGCGGGAACTCGCCACGCAATGCTGAGACCTTGTTCTGATTTCCTGAATAAAGCTTTCAGATTTCCTCAAGCTAAGAGCCTGAGGACTGCATCTGATACTAAGCAGGACTGTTCCTGCTTATGTTTTGTTTCTGAGGAAGGACCATAGCGCAATAGTAGAGAATCTGCCTTGAGGGCAGGAAATTCCAGGTTCAGTCCGTGATGACTAAGGAGAGGGTTGGGAGAAACTCCTGCTCAAAAACCCTGCTGCCAGTCAGAGTAGGTAATACTGAGCTCGGCAGACCAATGGTCTGACTCGGTATACAGCGGCTTCCTATATTTCTATTCCTATCTGAACCAACTTGCAATAAAACAAAAAAGGAAACTCTTATTAACACCTATAGAAAAACACTTTTGCTACCAATTTAGAAGCTGGAAGTTCATTCTGAGAGCTAAGCAAGCCGTCAGTGATTAAACAGAACCCAATACATAATTTCAACAACAACAAAATAAATAAATACTGTATAAGCCTGTGCTCTACTAAGCCAATTAACATTATTCCAATGAGGGACATCAGGGCACCTCATATTTTCCAGTTTATTAGCCAACTGTGCAGGGATTTTCTTATTTTAGTGTGCTGTTAACAAAAGTGTGTGTGGGCTGGCATGGTTTGGCTCATTAGCTACCCGGCAACAATTTAAGCAGCTCCCACACATGCACACACACACACATGCACAAAGAGGAGGAGGAGGAAATAAAACCATCCATGGCCATGCTATTTAGCAGGGGTTCCCCCCTGCAGCTCAAGGATTACATTCAGCCCTTGGCCTAATTTCATGCAGGTGGAGGAAGTCTGGAGGAGAGAAGCAAGGGAGTAAAATAGAGGGAAGAGCCAAAACGGACGGACTGATGGTGGGGAAGAAGCTCTCTGCAAGTGACCAAAAAACTGGCAAGAATGGGGGGAAATGGTGGGGAGGAAAAGCCCTCAGCAAGTGATCAGTTCAGATCTCGGACAAGAGTGAACTGTCCCTTGAAAAGAGAGGTAGAGAGAAAAGAAGGTGTTAGAAAGAAAAAGTGGCAGCCTGCACACTTTTAGCTCTGGTGTGACTATCTGCCAGAATACAGCCTGCATTAGAAAACTGGTTCCCTACCCTACACCGTCTCTACAGGGATTTCATAAGCTAGAAATCTCAACTTCTGGAGTTTTTTGCTCCTGTCCCTTATGACACACCTTCACTGTTTCACCTGGTCGCAGAAGAAGCAGCCATTAAATCAGCTCCATAGCTACAAATGTTTCTTAAGTTGTTGAAACCAGATGCATTATATGATTGAAAGCTTTAATCTATGCAGTGGGGGTGTGCTATTAAATGCTACCAAGGCTTGACAGGAGAAGTCTTGTTAGAAGAAATCTTCACACAAAAGAAAGCAACTTGGCCCTGCGTACTATGCTATTGCAGTCTTTAAGATCCATCTCGGGCTGTAACCCTATACATACCTGCAAAGGTGTTGGTCCCACTAAAATGAACAGACATATACAGGATGGCACCATCAGAGTCCTACTTTGACCATATAACTCACATAGGTTCATTAGTTCATCAAAACCATAAATTAAATTACATGACACCTAATGCCCAGGTGGCTTCCACTTCCACTGAACCACGATTAAACCTTGCATTCAAATGCAGCAATGATCTGTGATCAAGCCAGCAACTCTGAACCACAAACCACGTTTGAAATAGGCTAGCAAGCCAGTATTTATGTGAGGTATGGTTGAATATATAGTTTTATACAATATCTGGACTGAGAAAAGTTATGGCAGCTACTCCACTTTGTTCATTTCTTCATATTGTTGTCAAACCGATAACCCTGAAGACAGGCAAGCCTTCTCGGTTCCTTGATGCAGTTCGGTCTTGGTGCACTTCTCCTGCAATAACAGCACAGCTCTCATCTGCTACAACTGGGTGCTGATTGGGTAAGCTACAGACCTCCCCATCTGAGGCTGTGCCAGTCTGTTCAGAGCAGCATTGTTGCTATTGCACATTCGCAGCCAAGAGATAAACATGACTAAGAGCCAGGCACAGTCTCCCTACAATATCTGCTGCACTGGGTTGCCCATGATTCAGCATTCAGGAACTCTGTACACTGCCAAGAGCAGCCAGGGCAAAAACACAAGTAACAAGCCAACAAACAATGAAGCCAAGTATCAGTGAATCTGACTCCAGATTTGGCCTTGTAATGTTAAGGGATATCTATGACTACTACACCTTTTATTTATTTTTTACACAAGATACTGCAGTAAGAAATCAGTTTTCCTCACTGTAGTGTTTTCCTCACTGTAGTTATTTTACTTCTTTTGTTTGTTTTATTACTTTTTAGCACATTGTTTTATTCTGGACTGTAATATAATTTGTTTTTTTAATAAAATAAAAAGGCAGTATGAATGAAAGGCAAACCTTCACTTGCAGCAAATACAGCTTCTCTCTAAAGAAGGCAAGTTAGAGTTTCCACTTTTCACTGAGGTAGTAACACTCTCTCTGGGCTACACCGTTTCAGACTGAATATCCTCTGTGCTGTACACAGAAAGCTAGCATGCTATGGAGAAAGATTTGGCAGAATCCTTCCCCATGGCATGCTGGCTTTCTATTTGCAGGAGTATTTATGAATGCTGGAGCAGTCAGTCATGCGACAACCCCCCCCCCTCGTCCAGTCTAAAGTGATCCAGCCCAGACGCAAGGTTACTATCTCAGTGAGAACTATGCCTCAAATACAGACTAGACTAGAGAGACAGACCAGGGTCTACATTCCAACTAGACCATGAAACTAAGTAGCCTTGGGCTGGCATCTGTTTCTCAAGATAGCCTACCTCAAGTGGTTGTTTGTGAGGTTAAAATGAAACTTCTGCTGCTTGAAAATAGGGTGGACCAAAATGTGATAAATCATAAAAGTGATACTTTGGACCATGACCCCAAGCCAGGGACAGAAAGGCGTTATTTCCTAGGACAAAGTATTTTACAAAATTGAGGGAAATATTTCACAGCTGAGGAGCTACAGATGAAACAGACATGCAGAAATTCAAATCTGTTGTTTTTCCCCTTTTTCACTTAAATTCACCCACAAGAGTAAAAGTAAATTAAATCTAACTTGCTAAAATCAGTAATGCTATACTTTTTCCAAGTCTCCAGAATCCAATATGATCTATAGTCAGAAATGGGGGGGGGGGGGGGCTGACTGACCGAACCCAAAGGGTGCTCATCAATGGTTCCTCTTCATCCTGGAGAAGAGTGACTAGTGGGGTGCTACAGGGTTCTGTCTTGGGCCCGGTCTTATTCAACATCTTTATCAACGACTTGGATGATGGACTCAAGGGCATCCTGATCAAATTTGCAGATGACACCAAACTGGGAGGGGTGGCTAACACCCCAGAGGACAGGATCACACTTCAAAACGACCTTGACAGATTAGAGAACTGGGCCAAAACAAACAAGATGAATTTTAACAGGGAGAAATGTAAAGTATTGCACTTGGGCAAAAAAATGAGAGGCACAAATACAAGATGGGTGACACCTGGCTTGAGAGCAGCACATGTGAAAAGGATCTAGGAGTCTTGGTTGACCACAAACTTGACATGAGCCAACAGTGTGACACGGTAGCTAAAAAAGCCAATACAATTCTGGGCTGCATCAATAGGAGTATAGCATCTAGATCAAGGGAAGTAATAGTGCCACTGTATTCTACTCTGGTCAGACCTCACCTGGAGTACAGTGTCCAGTTCTGGGCACCACAGTTCAAGAAGGACACTGACAAACTGGAACGTGTCCAGAGGAGGGCAACCAAAATGGTCAAAGGCCTGGAAACGATGCCTTATGAGGAATGGCTAAGGGAGCTGGGCATGTTTAGCCTGGAGAAGAGGAGGTTAAGGGGTGATATGATAGCCATGTTCAAATATATCAAAGGATGTCACATAGAGGAGGGAGAAAGGTTGTTTTCTGCTGCTCCAGAGAAGCGGACACGGAGCAATGGATCCAAACTACAAGAAAGAAGATTCCACCTAAACATTAGGAAGAACTTCCTGACAGTAAGAGCTGTTCGACAGTGGAATTTGCTGCCAAGGAGTGTGGTGGAGTCTCCTTCTTTGGAGGTCTTTAAGCAGAGGCTTGACAACCATATGTCAGGAGTGCTCTGATGGTGTTTCCTGCTTGGCAGGGGGTTGGACTCGATGGCCCTTGTGGTCTCTTCCAACTCTATGATTCTATGATTCTATGATTCTATGATTCTAAGTCAATACTGTATGTGTTCCTAGTTCATCTTAGGTGCACTCGTGATCAGCATTCATAGTGCTGAAGTTTAGAGGGCAACATGAGCATACATTAATACGGAAGATAAGGAAAGCCAGCATAGCAGTAAAAGGTGTGTCTTGTTCTAAAGCAGCACAGTGTTGCCAAAAAGTCTGTTTATGAAGTTATGTATGAGGATATGGCTTGGGGCACCAGCTATACAAACAGGCAGTCTAAGAAGAAACAAACAGGCTTCTCATTCGCAACACGAGCCAGTTTATGGAAGAGTAATACACCAAATTCTCTTGGGAAGGGTGAACAAGGAACAGATACTAGTCTAGATGTAAAGCAGCAGTGGCTGCATCAACACATGTAGCAGAATGAGGCGAGACTGAGGCAGCAGAATGGGCAGCACCAATTCTGACTGAAAGTTTCTTTAATGCTGGCCTGTGTTCGTTTTGTTAAAAATCATTGCAAGTAAGAAGCTAACGCAGCAGGGAGAAAGATTCTAACCACCCCTTTGCACACTTTACTTGTTTTCTATGCACAGGGTGTTTGTAATGTAGGAAAACATTCAGACAAGTCATTCTCTTAATTGCAGTCTTAAGTGGCACAGCCCATCCTTCCACTTTATCCTGCTGCATGTCTACATGGGAATTTGTCATCATCTCTTTATATTTCCAACAATGACACACACACACACCCCAACTGCAATTTAAATATCACATGCGGATATTTATTGCACATATGTGCTGCTCTTCTTTGAGAACAGACGTGGCACATAGAAAGGTATTTCATATCCCACAGCCATGGAACACTCACTCTTTAGAAATTCATTGAGCCCAATTAGCTTTCAGAACCGGCTCAAGATATATTTTGGGGGAAATGTAAATGAATGAAATACATGGGAGGCAAATATATTTTCCCCCAAAGGAATCCTTCACATTCCGAGGGTTAGGCTACACATACACACATAAGATCACCCAGCCTCGCAGAGCCAAAATCCCCAGTCTCCATTAAAACCCTCACACAGCAGATGATCTCATAAGATCAGGCATTATTCTTCCTCAGAATTTGTTATCAAATGGTCTTTGGAAAACTCAAAACTACAAATTTGACAGTAGTCTGTCTTGTCTATTTGCAAGGAAGATGCCAAGATTCATATGCCCATCATAATTACCGTATTTTTTGCTCTATAAGACTCACTTTTTCCCTCCTAAAAAGTAAGGGGAAATGTGTGTGCGTCTTATGGAGTGAATGCAGGCTGCGTAGCTATCCCAGGAGCCAGAACAGCAAGAGGGATTGCTGCTTTCACTGCGCAGCGATCCCTCTTGTTGTTCCTGCTTCTGAGATTCAGAATATTTTTTTTCTTATTTTCCTCCTCCAAAAACTAGGTGCGTCTTATGGTCTGGTGCGTCTTATAGAGCGAAAAATACGGTATTGTAAAACTGCTCTACATCCTTTAAAAAGCACAAATGCTTTACTTTTGCCTCAACATATGTATGAAGTAGGTAATGAATATCTCAATTTTACATAAATAGTAGTGAGACTGAGAATAACTGATCAGGAATTGAACCCACTTCTTTCAGGACTACTTACAGGACCACACTGTTTCACAGCTCTGTTTATGTCCATATGTTGTGTACAAAGCTATACTCTGTTCAAGACAGACGGATGCCGCCAACAACAACTTGTTTTACAATACACTTTATGAGGTAGTTAATATAATAAAGAAACCTTGTTTCTGATCCCAGTGTTTCAATATTGCTGTCATCTCCCAACTCAAATCGTTCACTATGTTATAATTTCCTCCTTGCTGTCCTAGATTTCAGACGGTTGATATCTCTGAGAGGGCCGGTCTCAAGCTGGCACAGAGGTAAGGTTAACTTTAGACAGAGGAAGGTGACAAATTAATTAAGAACTACCATATGCATACAAAATGGAACAGAAGGCTCCACCTACCACAAGCACACCATCTCTCACAAAAGCAAGAGAAGGCTTTTCATATTGGTAATTTCTCTCTCACACAGATAGAGAGAAATCCTAAGTACTATAGGCTGAATACAAAATAGAGGAATGTTACTTCATTAAAACTCAAACAGTGTATTACAAAAATAAAGACAATAGGGCAAAAAAAATCCCAAATACATCTCCCAAAACAACCAAGTGCAACTGAAACCACACCTCCTTCCAGGATAAGGGTCATATTTAAAGCAGGATCGTATAAGGGCTCTAGGAAGGTACCGGTAATTACAACTCATAAGGGTCATAGATAGGGAGCCACAGGTTCTTCTTGGCAAAGCAAGTTACTTTCCAACAAGTCACAACATGAAAACAGGATTGATAGTATGTGGAAGCCCAATCAGTGATAACAACAACAGAGACTGGTTAGTGAGCAAACTGTTACCACCATCAATTAGTAGCAGTGCTAGGTGGGAGCAGAAGAGAAAGTGAACACCTGTGAGAGGGAAGAACATCACCAGGAGGGGAACTAGTCAGTTCCATGGGAATTCATTTAGCAGTAGCACAGGCTTTGCAACCATGGGCCCAGCAACCAACTTCTCCCTTTCTATACTAGATTTTCACACATCTTCATCCAATACTAGATGGCAAGCTCCTACAGAAAACCACTTCCCCACAGGCATCAAACAAATAAAACCAGTTAGTGCCCAGCATACTCGATTAGTTCCTGGTTCACTTGTGAATCAGATTCAGAAAGCTCTGGAAGACTCTGCTTGCTTCTGTGACAGCAAAGATGAGCAGATTACAGGTGGATGGTTGCAAGATGAAGGACAAAGAGCCCTAGATTCCAACTAATGACTGGTGGCATGAAAACTCACTTCAATAGAAGACAAAGCTCATCCTAGCAAAACAACACTTGCTACTCTGGGAAGCAAAGGAAGAAGAAAATCCAAATTGTCCAGAACAGTACAAGATCAAAGTGAATGAGGTCTCTACAGCTCAAGCCACTGGGGTTTGTTAGGTGTGGGGTGGGGCAAAGGGGTCAACCCGTTATGCTGTGGAAGAACCAAATTTGACTCTGAGTGGCATAAACCACATCAGTCTATATCCAGTTAGTCCCTCTGCTACTCTTCTTTGTATCAGACTGCCCCTAAGTATTCCTCCCACATGCTGGCAGGTAAAGCAGCAAATGGAACCTCAGATTCCTCCCTTTTATGGCCAGCCACTTAAAACTTATCCAACTCAATGATGCTTGCCTGAGCTGGTTGACCCAAGGTCTTCTATGCTCCCATAGCAACACTCTGGTGCACAGACAGCACAGCTAAGGTCACCTAACAGCAAATTGTGGTGAAAGGCAAGCAGAACACAGCACACATATACAGGAGGTAGATATCGGAGAAAGTGAGAAATAATTCCACAAAACCACCCATTCTTTGGACTGTTCTATGAGACATCTAATACAAATGTGCTTTGAATTCTGGCTGACTTTGATATTCTTTGGGGCAAATTTTAGCCTTAACTCCACTGTATCAATGTATGCTGTGGACTATGGATTGAAGTCTGGTCTTAACTAGAAAGTAGTAAAGGACATCCCAGTTATATTTTATAATAATATTAACTTATTACTTATACCCTGCCCATCTGGCTTGGTTTCCCCAGCCACTCTGAAAAGTTTTGGCTAATGCTGCTTACAGCAGGCTTGCCTTTAGTCATCAGCCTTATCCAAACTTCTGTATCTACTATGCGGTTCCTCCCACTACATCATCTACATATTTTCAATTAACCCAAGCTTGTTTTATTATGCCATCATTTTAAAATGGTTCAATAAAAAGCATCCTCTTATCTTTTTTGCATGTCTCACCCTAGGTATACCAACAACCACAACCAAATTAGAGATCTGCTGCTTGAGATACCCTAAATATGAACTTTTTGTCTTCTTGGATCTCTTTTTCAAAAGTCATCATGTACAGTGGTACCTCGGGTTAAGTACTTAATTCGTTCCGGAGGTGCGTTCTGAACCTGAAACTGTTCTTAACCTGAAGCACCACTTCAGCTAATGGGGCCTCCCGCTGCCGGAGCACAATTTCTGTTCTCATCCTGAAGCAAAGTTCTTAACCCGAGGCACTATTTCTGGGTTAGTGGAGTCTGTAACCTGAAGCGTATGTAACCCGAGGTACCACTGTATATAAAATATGGGTGCAGAGTTGTGTAACCAATGCAATTAATGGCAAACATCAGATTATATGCCATAAGACTCAGAAAGGTTCATGCAAAACACAGTTATGTCTAAACCTTGATCTAGATATTATTCATGGAGTCCAAAGAGAAGAAAAGTACTAGAAATTCAAGGTGATACAAAACAGGCCTTCCTCTCATCCCAAATTCATTATTCAGATTCATTTTTTTTAAAATTGCGACCAACCCTTGCCCAGAAATTCTTAGTAGGTACAGCCATGTTACAAGGATCACGGTCTCAAAGTAGCTTCAAGCTAACACAACTCCGAACAATCATCCACATCGCCAAACATATGTTTCCCTACAAGCAACTGCTGATGTTTTTCAGAGGAAAAAAAATTATTTGAAAAGTTCATTAGTAACAATGAATGGATGCCAACTACAAAATGGAAAGTTTGACCATTTCAAAATGTTTAGTTTTGTTTACTAAATAAAACAAATATTTCCAAGCAATTTGGATGTTTGGATGTTTTCATGAATGTGTGCACTCTTATGTAAACTTTCACCTAATGTATGCAGTATCTAGTTGAGACACCTGTATTGCAGGGGGTTGAACTAGATGGCCCTCAGGGGTCCCTTCCAACTCTACTATTCTATGACTCAGCTAAACTAGACCACTCTACAGGGTGTCACAAAAATGTTCAATGTAAATTGATTTTTTTTGGATGCAAATTACCCAAACTTGCACAGGGTGTCCCCCCCCTAGAAAACCCACATTCCTGGCAGCTTCCTAAAGAATGACAACGATGTGTGGGTGTGGGTGCATTTCTGAGAGAAAGTGCCAAGGCCAGCAGGAAGAACAGCTGGCTCCTTCATCAATGAGCCACAGGGCTGCTAGTTCTTAGAACCACCACTATGGCAGAATGCTTCATTTCATCTGGAGCATGCCTTCTGTCCCTTCCCAAGAGTTCAGGAGGACAATATATAGCAGGTGTGGGTTTTCCTTGTCACCGCCACATTGTTCACTTTTCAGAAATGTCTTCTCAAAGATTGAAAAAGAGCAGAACTTCCAGCAATTCCTAGTAATTGAAGGCTTGATATCAAGTGAGTAGTGAATGTGTAAATCCATTTTAGAAGAAACCCACATTTGTGGCTTTTCAAAGAATAATAGAACTGTAGAGTCAGAAGGGACCCTGAGGGTCATTTAGTCAAATTCCTTGCAATGCAGGAATCTTCTGCCCAACGTGGGGCTCAAACCCATGACCCTGAGATTAAGCAATCATGTCACAGTTAGCCCTCAGTTTCTGATGCACTGAGTTACAAATCAATAAATAAGAAGGGGAGCGACAATTTAGACTAGATACAAGAGTTTAATTTTAATTTCCCAAACACTCTGTGTACAAGGTAGCCAATGCTACCTTGTTCTTCTGGTGTGTACTCCTGTTATGATACAGAACTTCATTCTGTATTTCTAATCTGTTTAAAAGTGCTTCCCAGAGGAAAGCAGTAAGCATTTTAAAGTCCAGTCACATGCAGCTGTAACAAAGCTACACTCCTCCAAAATAGTAGAATTAGCTTGCCTCTGCTTCCCAGAGACAAGTATCTCCTTTATGGAAAGACTGCTACCCCATCTCCACTGCAAACAGCAAACTTCCCTCTCTTGACTCAGCAAGCTGCATCTAGCTACAAGGTCTGTACTTGCTATCTGCTAGTAGTAAAGTGTTTTTTCAACCTGTATTTGCAAGTTGCAAAAGACACAAATGGACAAGAACTCAAAAGCCAGATTCCTATCAATGTTTGTTCAACTATTGTTTTAAAGATGGGAGTCCAGAGAAATAGAAGAGTGCAAGGGAACAAGTTACTCTCCCTTCCCCATGCCCTCTCTTGTCTTCTTTCAAATGAATAATACTTAGCACACTTACATAGGGACTGATATCTTAAAAGTGCTGTACTTACAGATCAGCTAGTTAATGTGTCACTTGGCAGAGTATTTATAAAGATTTACCTTCCTTGTAAACCTTATTTAATGGGGGCGGACAGATTTTTCAGCAGCAAGAGAATAGGGTGGAGAAGCCTGTTATCTTTTGGAGAGATAAGGCCTAGGCTAGCCTGGTAATTAGATGGGAGACTACAATAAGTCTGAGGCTTTAGCTGGAATGCTGCTCTCTGGACAAGGTGAGCCTTCAGGAAATGTGTTGTCTGAAAACTAGTATGGTGTATAAGTGTCTCAATTATTAGATTATAAATTCACATTTCAGATATCAGATCAGCCCCAGGCAGTAGTCCCAGGTAAGCCACAATCTCTTAAGCTTCAGTTCTCCTTCTCCAATACTGTACAATGTCACAGGGTTATTGTAAAGCTTATTAGACTAAGAATAATTTGAAAGATCCTGTAAAAAAAACAAAACAAATGAAAATGCAGAAAGAAGAACACAAACCCCTGAAAATGCCTGGATGTCCATTGGAAGGAACCCATGAAACAGTCTGAAGGCAAATGATACGGCTACTTGGTGAAACTAAGCAAGCATATCTGGTTTGTGACTGGAAAGCTCATTTTTTTAAACTTAATTGTTCTAAGGTTTTATTGCTGTAAACTGCCCCCCCTCCCCGTGTGTGTCAGAGAGAGAGAGAAATCAACATACAGATATTCAAACAAACAAACAAAATATTCAATAAAATGGATATTCAAACAAAAGATATAATGAACTGAATAAAACAATAATGAAGTTAGGGGTCCTGGGTAATTTATTACATTTGCACCCCTTTCCCAAATAATAGACTACCAAACACAGGTATTTGTTTATTTTTATTAGATTTATATACTGTCCATCAAAAGATCTTAGGGCAGTTCACAAGAAAAAAGACACAAGAGAAAAGCAGAAATAAATAGTCAAAACAGAAGAAACAAAACAGCAAAAAAAAAGCACACACATTTAAAAGGCTGTAGAATATTAATCCACCAAAGGCATGGCTGAAGAGGAATGTTTTTGCCTGGTGCCTAAAAATATATAATGACAGTGCCAGACAAACCTCCCTGGGGAGAGCATTCCATAAATGGGGGGTCACTACAGAAAAGGCCCATTATTGTGCTGTCACCCTGCAGACCTCACATGGAGGCGGCACTTGAAGAAGGGCCTCAAATGATGTTCACAATGTCCAAGTTGGTTCCTATCAGGAGAGTTGGTCCTTGAGGTACTGCGGTTCTGAGCTATTTAAGGCTTCATAGGTCAAAACCAGCATTTTGAATTAGGCCCTGAAACTAATTGGCAGCCACTGCAGTCGGGCCAGGATTGATGTAATATGCTCAAACTGTCCTTCCCCAGGGAGCAACCTGGCCACCGAATTCTGCACCAGCTGGAGATTCCGAACCATCTTCAGCAGTCGTCCTACATATAATGTGTTACAGTAATATAACCAAAAGGTTACCAGAACATAGATAACGAAAGTTAGACTAACCCTGTCCAGGAAGGGGCACAGCTGTGCCACCAGCTGAAGTTGATGAAAGGAACACCATGCTGCCGAGGCCACCTGAGCTTCAAGGAGTACACCCAAGCTACGTATCCACTCCTTCAGAGGTAGTGTAACCCAATCAAGAGCAGGCAACCTCTCATCCACCTGATCTAGGGAACCACT